AAAGAAAGAGGGAGAGGAGAAAGAGAGAGAGAGAGAGAGAGGGGAGAAGGAGGGAATGGGCGAGGGATAGAGAGAGAGAGAGAGAGAGAGAGAAGGGGGGAACGTGTGAGAGGGAGAGAGAGTGAGGGAAGGGGGGGAATGAGAGGGAGAGAGAGTGAGGGAAGGGGGGAATGAGAGGGAGAGAGAGTGAGGGAAGGGGGGAATGAGAGGGAGAGAGAGTGAGGGAGGGGGGGGAATGAGAGGGAGAGAGAGTGAGGAAATGAGCGAGGGATAGAGAGAAAGGGAATGAGAGAGAGAGAGGGGGGAGAGAGAGAGGGAGAACGAGGAAGGAATGGGAGAAGCTTTGGGATGGCCACCGCCGCCCGGAAACAGGAATGATGATGATGAAGAGACTGAGCCGCGGAACATGTGGCGTTTGAGAAACCACAGGACATGGGATTTTTTTTCTCCCTCTCCCCCTCTCTCTCTCTCTCTCAAACTCGGCTCAATTAACCAACCCGGTGCCGGGATGGCAGGGAAGTCTGGAAAGTTTTATTATGCCCTTTAGTTTCCCTCCTCTCTCTCTCTCCCTCCCTCTCTCTCTCTCTCTCTCCCCTTCCCTCCCTCTCTCTCTCTCTCTCTCTCCCTTCTCTCCCTCTCTCTCTCTCTCCCTCCCTCCCTCCCTCTCTCTCTCCCCTTCCCTCTCTCTCTCTCTCTCCCCCCCACCCCCCAAAAAAAGAAAACCCAATTCAGTGGAACTGATTGACTTGTTAATAAAATACAGACTTCCAGTGTGAGAGCTGTAACACACACAGTGTGTGACGCCCCACAATCTGTGGCTACAGTACACATTGTCTCTGTCTGTCTGTCTATGTCTGTCTGTCTGTGTCTGTCTATGTCTGTCTGTCTCTGTCTGTGTCTGTCTGTCTCTGTCACAGGGGGTCATTGCTGTTTGGGTTCACAGTTGGTTGGATGTTGAGGGGGAGGGGGCTTTGAGGAGAATGAGGAGAATGTGCCACTGAACTGAAATATGTTGTGGCAAAAGGATAGGGGTGAACCTCAGCCTCTCCCTCCCCAAAGGCGATGTGTTTATCCCAACTTGTGGGAAGTGTGGGCTGTCATATTTTTTTTTGCCAAAAAAAAAGTTTGGCGTTGGGGAAAAAGAGTCGAGATGTCTGGGGCTGGGGTTGTTTTCTCTCTCTCTCGTTCTGGGCGCAAGAAACCACCGCCGATCTGCCTGTGAGATTCCACCTCAGAGAGGAAATCACTGAGATTAGTAAATGATAAATGATTTCCAAAAAAAAGAGAACCCCCCCCCCACAAGCCCTTTAAAAGGCTGCCTTTTGTAATGCTCCATCTGCAGCCAAACCTGTAGTAGCTGCAGACAGACTGACTGACTGCCTCTTGTTGCACGTTAACAAATAATTTGTGAACAAATAACAAATAATTAAGTCAGCGCACATTAACTCCTAAATGGCCATGTCTTAAGCTCTCCCGAAAGTTCAGCTCTCGCTTCAAGGGGTTAAGAACATTGGCTGGTGGTGCTTTAACATTGCATTTAAATCTATTGCAACGTCCTCCACGCCCAGCTGATGGGTCGAGCCTTTTTAAAGGGCTGGGGGGGGGGGTCTTTGTTTTTTTTATCATTTAATAATCCTGCAGCTGTGGTATCAGTGCAGCTGGTTTCAATGTTTTCTTTTTTTGTTGCTTGGAATCGTTTCCAATCTCACCTTTTCCTCCAAAGTCGCACACGGGCAATATTTCTTTTTGAAAATTGTCCATATATAGATGCTTACAAGAGGGATATGGCTGTGGCCTGAGACTCAGCCCTAGGAGGAAATGACACACTGAGACTAACTAGTGTTGATGTCATTGGCAAGCAAGAGTATGGGCTGGTTCTTGATCGAAACTGGAATAGAGATTTGCTTGGGTGGAGATGAGCACAGGTTACCTGGAGAGAAATATTGAGTCGTGGATGATCTTTCGGCACAAAAGGTAAAAGTGTAACAAAAGCACAGAGTTTTAATGCATGCGAAAGGTTCCTCCATAATGGAATCCTTGCATGGGCTGAATTTTATAACTGGCCCATGATCTCATGTTTAGTGACTCACCCAATTTCTGCTGCTCAACATTAAACTTGTTTGGCCTGCCCCAGCGTAATTGCTAAATTTGAAAATGCGCTATGAATGTGTGGAAGAAATTTAGCAGCTTCATCAGCTTTGCTAATCTATTGCAAATGTGCAAGGGTTACTGGATATAATCACATATGGAATTTGTGTATTTACACCCCGGTTAAAGTAAGGGTTGTTGTGTTTTAGTACCACTAAATCATAAGAATTGGTTTGTTGAGCAAAATGCCAAGCTTTTAAACTGAAAATAATCGTTTAAAGAATTTGTTCCAGCAGACACTCATAGAGTGTGAGATCCTGAAATCAGATCAAGTTTCAACAGTTGAGTAATATTGTTGCATTGCCTCCATGAAACAATTAGAATACATGAGCCTATCATTGCTTGTCCAGTGCGCTTCAGGGACTATTAACACGTCCCAAATCCACCCAAAACTAAGAAGATTAATGCCTCTGTGTGGTGTGTGTTCTCTGTGTGGTGTGTGTTCTCTGTGTGGTGTGTGTTCTCTGTGTGGTGTGTGTTCTCTGTGTGGTGTGTGTTCTCTGTGTGTTGTGTGTTCTCTCTGTGTTCTCTGTGTGGTGTGTGTTCTCTGTGTGGTGTGTGTTCTCTGTGTGTTCTTTTCTGGGGAGAAGAGGGTTTCACCTTTCACAAAGGATTCAGACACCCAATTCCCCGCAGCTTTTGCTTTGAAACACAGCTTTCAGGGTTTTTTTTTAAAAAAAATTGTTGGGGGGTTAAGAGGGAGGGAGTGGGGGGGAATAGCATTGACTCCATTGTTGTCCAGTAGTCATCGTTGGGAGGGGGTGTGGTGTGGAGTGTTTTTCTTTGCACTCGCCTTTTTATGAGACTGCAGCTGGAGACTTGTACCAGATGGTCAAGTCACGAGCCGGAGATGAGGAGGGAGGGAGGGAGAGAGGGAAGGAATGAGAGAAAGAAAGAGGGAGAGGAGAAAGAGAGAGAGAGAGAGAGGGAGATACACTAAATCGCCCAAATCTATTCATTCATTTGTTGACTTAATAGTTTAGGATTATTCAAAGGAATACTGCAGGATTGCAAGTTATAAATACCACTCCGCCCCCCCCACCCCAGAGAATAGTCATTAGTTGGTCACTTGACATCAGATAAAAGGTAGCCATGAGCCCACACGAGATGGATAGTGAGTATTAGGGACACCCTGTGAGCTTCCTGGTTAGCAGCACAGCTCAGCACGACATCCTCCTGCACCGAAAATAAAATGTTATTACAATACCCTGCTCCCAATGGGCAGTTCTCTGTCTTGGAGGGTGGTGAAATGCTGTTGTAATGCAATAATATCTTACTTTCAATCAGCACTCAAACCAGGGGGCTGCTGGATTTGGTGTCTAGCGCTCCTTCCTTGCTACAAACTAGGGCAATGTCTACTATGCATGAACACAAACTATTTTTTCCACAAAGAACTTGGATATAATTTGCAATTCAAAGTTTTTATGAGTCTTCCCTGGAGTAGATCTTTAAGCAGTAAGCATTATTTTTGACACCAGTTGTGTTAACATTTTTAGGTTTCACAAAGGTTGTCGAGATCTTCCGGTGGCAGGGAATGGGGGGGGGGGTGGGTCACTTGCCTTCGGGGATGATCATTTTCTTTGTACTCTGACTACTAATAGAATCAGGCATATCAAAGGCAAGCTGAGGGGATTGACCCCTGGTACAGAAGCTTTTAGTTAGTGGGCAGTTATTCAATAACAACAGGAAATCTATGAAGGTATGCGGGAAACTTTGCAAGCTGTGTTTAGGATTGGAGTCCCAAATGTTGATATCAAGCCGGTCAAGAAATGTGCGGAATTTATTTTTTGTTGAAGTGACACTAGATTTTTGTGAAAGAGGTCAACGTCTGCATCGCCGTGTCTGAAAGCATTCAGGTAACCGCAAGTAACGATTCATTCATTACCGGCTGATTGAAAGAAAAGTTCCTGTGTTTACTGTTGTCGTTTGAGAATAATAAGTTTTCATAAACAAATGCAGGTTAAGACAAAAGAAAATTGAAACGGTGTAACTGACTTGACATCTGTACACCCCCAGCCCCACACACCCCCCATCCCCACCCCCACCCCCACCCCCCACCCCATCCCCCCCCCCATCCCCACCCCACCCCATCCCCACCCCCCCCCCATCCCCACCCCCACCCCCATCCCCACACCCCCATCCCCCCCCCCATCCCCACCCCCACCCCCCCCCATCCCCACCCCCCACACCCATCCCCACCCCCCCACACCCAATCCCCACCCCCCCCCCACACCCATCCCCACCCCACCCCCCCATCCCCACACCCCCATCCCCACCATGAGAGAGAGAGTGAGTGAGAAGTTACCAAAAGGGGTGTCAAAGCCACAGTGCCTGGATGACTGGCAGCTCGGCTGTCCAATGAGGTGGTGCTGGGGGCGGGAGCGGGGGTGTGTGACGGGCGGGCAGAGCGGCGGTGTGATTGGCCGCGCTGGAGCGAGTGGGCGGGGCCTGGGCGTGGCCAGGGGGGGGTGGGAGGCGTGGTGATGGGCGTGGCGAGGTGGAGGGGGCGTGGCGATGGGCGTGACGAGGGAAGGGGGGCGTGGCGATGGGCGTGGCGAGGGGAGGGGGCGTGGCGATGGGCGTGGCGAGGGGGAGGGGGCGTGGCGATGGGCGTGGCGAGGGGAGGGGGGCGTGGCGATGGGCGTGGCGAGGGGGAGGGGGCGTGGCGATGGGCGTGGCGAGGGGGAGGGGGCGTGACGATGGGCGTGGCGAGGGGGAGGGGGCGTGGCGATGGGCGTGGCGATGGGGAGGGGGGCGTGGCGATGGGCGTGGCGAGGGGGAGGGAGAGCTCCGCGCTGTGGGCTCTTTGGCTTTCGGTACCGACCCCTCGTCCGCGGCGGCAGCTGAGACGCACCGGGGGAGAGCCTTTCCGAAGGGGGAGAGGGTGGGGGGGGGGCGAGAAGAGAGCAGGAAAGCAGCGCTCGTGCGGTGTTTTATTTAATATATATTTGTAAGTACCCACTGTGCACGTTTGTTGAGAGTGCAATAAAAATGCACGGGAGCCTCGCAATTATGTGTGTGTGTGTGTGTATATAATAATATATAATGATAATATAACGTATAATAATATAATATATAATAATATAATGCATTGTATATAATATACATAGATATTAGACGTATCTCTGCTGTGACCCTTTCAGGTCTGAGTGGGAATTCTACTGTGACTGAGGGAGTGGGGAGGGAGGGGTCTGGTGTGAGTTAGTGGAGTCATTAAGTGTGTGGTTTGTGTGTGTTCTCTGTGTGTTCTCTGTGTGTTGTGTGTTCTCTCTGTGTTGTGTGTTCTCTGTGTGTTCTCTGTGTGTTCTCTGTGTGTTCTCTGTGTGTTCTCTGTGTGTTGTGTGTTCTCTGTGTGTTGTGTGTTCTCTGTGTGGTGTGTGTTCTCTGTGTGGTGTGTGTTCTCTGTGTGGTGTGTGTTCTCTGTGTGTTGTGTGTTCTCTCTGTGTTCTCTGTGTGGTGTGTGTTCTCTGTGTGTTGTGTGTTCTCTGTGTGGTGTGTGTTCTCTCTGTGTTCTCTGTGTGGTGTGTGTTCTCTGTGTGTTGTGTGTTCTCTGTGTGTTCTTTTCTGGGGAGAAGAGGGTTTCACCTTTCACAAAGGATTCAGACTCCCAATTCCCCGCAGTTTTTGCTTTGAAACACAGCTTTCAGGGTTTTTTTTAAAAAAAATTTTTTGGGATTAAGAGGGAGGGAGTGGGGGGGGAATAGCATTGACTCCATTGTTGTCCAGTAGTCATCGTTGGGAGTGGGTGTGGAGTGTTTTTTTTTGCACTCGCCTTTTTTATGAGACTGCAGCTGGAGACTTGTACCAGATGGTCAAGTCACGAGCCGGAGATGAGGAGGGAGGGAGGGAGAGAGGGAAGGAATGAGAGAAAGAAAGAGGGAGAGGAGAAAGAGAGAGAGAGAGAGAGGGGGAGAAGGAGGGAATGGGCGAGGGATAGAGAGAGAGAGAGAGAGAGAGAGAAGGGGAATGAGAGAGAGAGAGAGAGAGAGAAGGGGGGGAATGAGAGGGAGAGAGAGTGAGGGAGGGGGGGAATGAGAGGGAGAGAGAGTGAGGGAATGAGCGAGGGATAGAGAGAAAGGGAATGAGAGAGAGAGAGGGGGGGAGAGAGAGAGGGAGAACGAGGAAGGAATGGGAGAAGCTTTGGGATGGCCACCGCCGCCCGGAAACAGGAATGATGATGATGAAGAGACTGAGCCGCGGAAACATGTGGCGTTTGAGAAACCACAGGACATGGGATTTTTTTTCTCCCTCTCCCCCTCTCTCTCTCTCTCTCAAACTCGGCTCAATTAACCAACCCGGTGCCGGGATGGCAGGGAAGTCTGGAAAGTTTTATTATGCCCTTTAGTTTCCCCTCCTCCTCTCTCTCTCTCTCCCTTCCCTCTCTCTCTCTCTCTCTCTCTCCTCTCCCCTTCCTCCCTCTCTCTCTCTCTCTCTCCCCTTCCCTCCCTCTCTCTCTCTCCCTCCCTCCCTCCCTCTCTCTCCCCTTCCCTCCTCTCTCTCTCTCCTGCTCTCTCCCCCCACCCCCAAAAAAAGAAAACCCAATTCAGTGGAACTGATTGACTTGTTAATAAAATACAGACTTCCAGTGTGAGAGCTGTAACACACACAGTGTGTGACGCCCCACAATCTGTGGCTACAGTACACATTGTCTCTGTCTGTCTGTCTATGTCTATGTCTGTCTGTGTCTGTCTATGTCTGTCTGTGTCTGTCTCTGTCTGTCTCTGTCTGTGTCTGTCTGTCTCTGTCACAGGGGGTCATTGCTGTTTGGGTTCACAGTTGGTTGGATGTTGAGGGGGGAGGGGGCTTTGAGGAGAATGAGGAGAATGTGCCACTGAACTGAAATATGTTGTGGCAAAAGGATAGGGGTGAACCTCAGCCTCTCCCTCCCCAAAGGCGATGTGTTTATCCCAACTTGTGGGAAGTGTGGGCTGTCATATTTTTTTTTGCCAAAAAAAAAGTTTGGCGTTGGGGAAAAAGAGTCGAGATGTCTGGGGCTGGGGGTTGTTTTCTCTCTCTCTCGTTCTGGGCGCAAGAAACCACCGCCGATCTGCCTGTGAGATTCCACCTCAGAGAGGAAATCACTGAGATTAGTAAATGATAAATGATTTCCAAAAAAAAGAGAACCCCCCCCCCACAAGCCCTTTAAAAGGCTGCCTTTTGTAATGCTCCATCTGCAGCCAAACCTGTAGTAGCTGCAGACAGACAGACTGACTGACTGACTGCCTCTTGTTGCACGTTAACAAATAATTTGTGAACAAATAACAAATAATTAAGTCAGCGCACATTAACTCCTAAATGGCCATGTCTTAAGCTCTCCCGAAAGTTCAGCTCTCGCTTCAAGGGGTTAAGAACATTGGCTGGTGGTGCTTTAACATTGCATTTAAATCTATTGCAACGTCCTCCACGCCCAGCTGATGGGTCGAGCCTTTTTAAAGGGCTGGGGGGGGGGGGTCTTTGTTTTTTTTATCATTTAATAATCCTGCAGCTGTGGTATCAGTGCAGCTGGTTTCAATGTTTTCTTTTTTTGTTGCTTGGAATCGTTTCCAATCTCACCTTTTCCTCCAAAGTCGCACACGGGCAATATTTCTTTTTGAAAATTGTCCATATATAGATGCTTACAAGAGGGATATGGCTGTGGCCTGAGACTCAGCCCTAGGAGGAAATGACACACTGAGACTAACTAGTGTTGATGTCATTGGCAAGCAAGAGTATGGGCTGGTTCTTGATCGAAACTGGAATAGAGATTTGCTTGGGTGGAGATGAGCACAGGTTACCTGGAGAGAAATATTGAGTCGTGGATGATCTTTCGGCACAAAAGGTAAAAGTGTAACAAAAGCTCAGAGTTTTAATGCATGCGAAAGGTTCCTCCATAATGGAATCCTTGCATGGGCTGAATTTTATAACTGGCCCATGATCTCATGTTTAGTGACTCACCCAATTTCTGCTGCTCAACATTAAACTTGTTTGGCCTGCCCCAGCGTAATTGCTAAATTTGAAAATGCGCTACGAATGTGTGGAAGAAATTTAGCAGCTTCATCAGCTTTGCTAATCTATTGCAAATGTGCAAGGGTTACTGGATATAATCACATATGGAATTTGTGTATTTACACCCCGGTTAAAGTAAGGGTTGTTGTGTTTTAGTACCACTAAATCATAAGAATTGGTTTGTTGAGCAAAATGCCAAGCTTTTAAACTGAAAATAATCGTTTAAAGAAATTTGTTCCAGCAGACACTCATAGAGTGTGAGATCCTGAAATCAGATCAAGTTTCAACAGTTGAGGTAATATTGTTGCATTGCCTCCATGAAACAATTAGAATACATGAGCCTATCATTGCTTGTCCAGTGCGCTTCAGGGGGACTATTAACACGTCCCAAATCCACCCAAAACTAAGAAGATTAATGCTAGGAATTTAGTCCTGAATATATACATTAATAATAATAATACTTGATTTGGTATAGTGCCTTATCACGTCATTGGGACGTCTCAAAGTGCTTCACTTGTACATTGGATTGACTGTGTATTTTGTGGGCGAAATGCAGCAGCCAATTGCACACAGCAATGTCTCCAGTCATGGAATGAGTGACCAATTTTATTTGGGGGATTGTTGGCCAGGACACCAGGAGAAACTCCATTATCTTTTCAAATAGTGCCATGGGATATTTATCATCCACTTGAATGGGCAGATAGATTTAACGTCTCATTAATGAGAAACTTGTGCAGAATTAATGGGATTTTTTTCCCCCAGGAGGGCAACTAATGGTACCAATGGTATATGCGGTGACAGGTCAAGTTCTTCTGCAAATGTCGCGATGCAATGATGCATTGATTTGTCCTGTGATTCACTGCAGCCAGTAGATGCAGAGTAATGGAGTGTAGGGGAGTGGCAGTACGAGTTCGGAGATGATTAATATGAGTAGCACAAAGAAATCTAAATGGTTTTGATAGGAAACTGAATAATGCTCAGATGAATATATGACTTAGGCAATTCAGGATTTATAAAGAGAACTTGGGTGAGTTTTAGTGCTCTGGGGTGCTATCCCCCTTGAGAAGTACTATATAAATGCAAGTTGTTGTTGTTACTATATTTGGCTAATGAAACCAGTGGCTTGACTGACTGGCATTTTATGTTATTGTAATTTATTAGAACCACATGCATATATTTGACTGAAAAACCTGATTGTAAGGCCGTATCCACTTTTTACATCCATCTCAATGTGTTGATTAGCTGTTTTTAGCATATTCAAATGGGAATGTGTTATAAACTGCAAGATTGGGGTCTGATATGATTTTGATGTGATTCATTTATACCAAAATGCAGCATGGAATCAGATTTTTTCAGATGTAATATGCTGTGTGATTTCCCCCACCACCCCCCAAACAAATCCCAGTATTAATGAAGAAATATTTTATTCTTATGTTTGGGTTTCAGCATGTATCGGACACCTGACTGACCAAAAACAATTATAATATCCACCCATTTGATTATCTTGTTAATTAAATTACAATCTTTCCAATTTACGGAATTGCAATAAAAATTGACACACATTTAGTAGAAATTAGAATACTGCCCAGTGGAACTTCTTTAGGCTTCAGACAGTATCAAACACTCACTGATTTTAATGTCGCTCTTCTTTCAGACACCGATGTGACCGTAGCTACTCAATTTTAGCTCGTTTATTATATCCATTTACGAAAAGGTATCAAGTAATAATTATTTTATGCAACAGTTGCTCTTCTGATTTTATGTGCTCTGCACTTCTAGTTGACAAGCACGGCTGCTGCACAAAAGGATAAAAGAGTTCTTTGTTTGAACATATGTAGCAGTTAATCTGTAACTCTATACTTTCAGTTCAGCTTGTTGCTCAAGCAGCACTTTCAAGTATGTATCTTTCTTAAAGAAGTTGTATTCCTTTATCAATGTTCAGCTGGACTCTAGGGTGTAACGGTC